AAACATGGCAATCATATCGTCCGTATCAACGTCGTTATCATCGAGCCTTAGGATCTTTCTTCGCAAACAAAAATACTTTCCCGTCACGGTGTCAAAAGAAGCACCCTTCCCACCAAGGAGAGAAATCACCTGTTTTAGCTCACTGAAAAACCCCGATTCAAAGTCATTGTTTTGCACTGGATGGACAGAAGAACCGGCACAAGCATCCTGACCCGAGAACGAGGAGAAAAAAGATACCCTAAGCCTTACGGAAACGCCAGCATTAAAGCTTTTCCAACGAGGCCGTCTTTGGAGGCAAATGGAGCGACTAAAGTGCTTTATATCCCGAGTGAGACAAAGAAGTATGGACATTGAAGGTAAAAAAGCATAAACTCCCACACGCTTAAAAATAAGGAAATTAAAATGTCATTTCAAGTGCACACGTTAATTTCTAATTTGGCACCAAAAAAAGAAATTCAAATAAAGAAAATGTACACTTATTATGTGGGTCGTTGTGATTTCGTAATTAATTTATCTTTTGACCCAGGTGAACTGCCTACGAGCCTTGGGTTGGCCATATTTTTTTCGCTCAACCCGTCGTCCATCTCCATCAACAAGATTTGCTAACAGAGAAAGAAGGGCCGGCTCTTTGCTTGCTAATGCCCTTGCAAGGGCGATCTTTATAGCATCCGCCCTACCTATAGGTAATATTGGTAAAAACCGCTATCGAACCTTTTAATCCACCCCCATGGGCCGAGGCCCATATGCAGTAAGAAGAATGCCTATTGGTCGCTTCGAGCGGCGTTATTATGGATACTATTTTTTTGATGTCTCCTTCAAAATAAATATGCATCGGTTTTCCATTGACAAATATAGGCCAGATTGAAGAGGGGTATTCGTAAATAGACCCAGCAGTAGCCAAGCTTTGCGGGTATAACCACAGTTCCGCTTTTGCACACTTCTTTGATGCGGTCGTGTGTATGCGACCAAGAGAGTCTACTTCTCTAAGCTTATATTCTGTAGGTCCATGCTTCTCTAAATCAGAACCTTCAGAAACTGTTGACCGTTTCCATCCTTCCAAGAATGAAGTCAGATTAGTTGAAGGCGGGCAATTTTCATACAACTTTTGGACAAGCGATAATTTCAAACATAAACGATAGTACATCCTCTCACTAAGTGGACACCCAAGGATTCTTTCCATTTCCTTTAAAGACTTCCAAATGCTTAAAGACTCTTCGCTCAGCAAAGAACGCAACGAAAATATCGAAACATCAGCTTTTGAAGATTCTGAACGGCCCTGCAATTTATCCAAACTGTAAATAATTGAAAAGTTGGGAAGGGTTTTGTTCTTTGCGTTCTTCTTCAGCTCGGATGGAAACCGAATCGCCGATGGGATATCGATCAACAACGCATAGGAAAGGTCTTCCTCACTCAAGTTCAACAACGAAAACGATGATATCCTTTTGAAAATATCGTTTAGCAATGAAATTGTGTCAAAAAAAGTAGGATGAGTGCTGTAAAAAGATAGGCTTGAAGGCAGAAGATATGCCTTTTTAGCAGCAGGATTTGGCCGTTCAAAGGGATCGGATTTCTGCTGCGAATCTTTGGCTCGGAGTTCATAATTAGAAAATGGGTTCGAGGAAAAAGTTGGCGACCTTTTGAAGATATATTTGGAGGCGGCTTCTGAAACATTTGAGGAATATTTCCGGCGAATTGAGGGGAGACAATATGTGTACATCCTCATTGCAGCATTGGGCATTTACAAAAAAAGTTGAAGTTGAAATTTTAAATTGAAAAGCCCGTCGTCTATGCGTTGTTTTTGCAACATCTTCAAATAATCATCGTTGTTATCAGAACACAGCATCGTTGTTATGGGGTTTTGAAAAAACAAACAAACACTCATGCATGGTACTTAAAGTAGGCCTTTTATTGTTGGTATCAAGAAATGATTTATAGCAAACTCCTTGTTTTTAGCTTTACTGTTTTACTTTCCGTTGTTGGATTTTCATATGGCCAGATTATCGCTGTTACGTATCCATTACCAAATCAAATCGTCTTGACCTGCAACCCCCTTACGATAGAATATGCTGTAGACAGCGCATCTCCTGTTACTGTCTTGTTCGGAAACAAACCCATCATGTTAGGAGTTCTCCCTTCAATTGCTTTGCCTAACACGATTACCATTAATCTCCCTGAGTGTTTATCATCCGGAGTGCATGTGATCACCCTTGTTCAAGATGGTGTTGCATCTGCCCCCATCGTTATCCAAACTATTAATGGATGCGGAGAATTTAGATCCCTCTCTTCGTCTGACTGCTAAAATGTTAGATTTAGAATTCATATTCAATAAACATTCAATTAAAGTTTTCTTCCCCTCCATAGTTTATGTTGTCTCATACTGATTTCGGTGAGACATTATTGCGGGTACACCTGCGCTTTCAAAGTATTTTGGTTGCCATCAAACCTGTGATTTAATGTTCGAAATGTTTGTTGTCGCGTCGCCATCAGCTAGGAGACGTACAATTGACAACTGACCTAACCACAAGCTGGTATTGCCAACAAACAGACACTTTAATTTTCAACCCCATAACATGTAAATTCAATTTAAATTTCAACCCCATAACATGTAAATTCAATGTTTATTTTCGTGTGATTCTGTTGATCGCTTCCTTGGTAGCCATTGTTTTTAGGTGATTGAAAAATGTCGATCACATAACAACAAACAAATCGTGTGCATTTATAAGAAGATGCGCTTTTTAAAGGGATAGCAAATGGTATTCAAATACT